AGATTTCCTTTTTGAAGTACTCTTTCCTCACCATGCATCTCTAAACAAACAGCCCTCATCATGTCACTAAATTATAGTATTATCAAGTATATCTGAGTAAAAAGTATAACCAGTAGTATTCATAGAACTTTTATATCCCTCCCAAGACCTGATGTACATTACAATCGATTCTTGGATAGAGATCAATTATTCATTACTTTATATATTTTGTCAAACTAACTCATGGACATACCAGTTAACAACAAGTGCTTGTCATGGACTTTTTTATTGATGCATTTTAATCAAAGCGAAATATTTGTGTTCAGCCTCAGCCTGCACATGCAGAAGGACGGACTGACCCTGGCTGCTGCCCGCCAGCAGGTAGAAGCAACTTTGCTGATGTTGACTGACATGCAGGACAACCCAGGACAGCACCTGAAGGGCTTCCTGGCTGAGGCAGAGCAGGGGGCCGGGCAGTACAGAGGCGCCACCTTGAATGGGCATGATCAGGCCACCATTGATGAGTTTCAGGGGTAAATATTTTGTACAGTTATCTATAATAGTAATATTATTTTTGTATATAAGATGACTTAACGTTACATTGGTTTTACTGAATGATCATTGTATATAAAGAAAGTGAATTACTGTTGTTGAGTGGCAGATCATTGAATATTCACTTTTTTTAATCATTATGTTCTTCAGGCACAAAAGGAGGATCCTCCAAAGTGTCACCGACCACCTGACGGAAAGACTGGGGTCCCTGGATGGCACTGAGGTCCACCGTTCAGCAGCCAAGATCGTGGACCCCCGTGAGTGGCCTGTGGATGACACCCTGGCAGGGTTTGGGTTTGAGCACCTGCGCACCCTCGCCGCCCACTTCCAGCCTGTGCTGGTCAGGAATGGGTTTGAGGAGGTCGCCCTGCGACGGGAGTGGGCTGGAGTCAAGGCCCAGCCGAGGGGCCAGCTTGGGCAGATGTGGGAGAACATCTTCCTCGATGCCCAGCTGAGGGAAGAGTTCTCCAACGTTTTACATCTTATTGAAATCATTCTGGTCTTCCCCCTAGCTACTGCTGCTGTGGAGCGGGGTTCAGCTGCATGAAGCGTGTGAAGACGGACTGGAGGTCCAAGCTGGAGGTATCCATGCTGTCTCAGCTGATGTACATCAGTTTGGAAGGACCTTCAGTCCAGGCCTACCATGCAGCACTTGCTGTTCAAGCATGGTGGCAGGCAGCCCCAAATGGGCGCCAACTGCAGCAGAAGAACCCCTGAGTTCCCAGGCACCCCTAGTCTTCTGAAGTGAAATTCATGTTTAGCTTCTGAAGTTCATGTTTAGCTTCTGAAGTTCATGTTTAGCTTTCAGATTCTTACAGCCTCAATCAGTTCTAGACCATGACCAGGGAAATGTCTTAGAGTGACTGAGAGTACAGTAATTAGACTTGGCACTAGACTAGTATGTTTTGTACATGATGTTTCAGTGATTTGAGTGTATTTGTTATTGATTCCTGAGTTAAGTTTGAAGTAAGGTAGATACCACCTTAACCATCTAAAGATTCCTGTCTTATGTTTGAAGGCAGATAGTCAGTGAGTGTGTAAGTGCAGAATGCCAGATACTGCAGATACTGCCTTAAACTTAAAGATTCGTACTTGACTTGTGTTGTCAGACTCAGAGTAACTAAGACTTTCTGACAACTGTACACTTGTATCACTATTTAAGCAATTAATAAAGAAGTTGAACTTGTGTTCTTGAGACTTCAGTTCTGTCTGAGATGCTCTGCTCAGCTGTTTTATTTGTTATTACACATTTACCAGCTTAAGTGCATGATCAGTGATGACATTCACACATCCACACAAATTGAATTTCCAATTACAAAAAGGTAGAAGACTCCCAAGACCTTGATCTTGTAGTTAAAACATGGTTAAATGATTTTAAATGCATTGAAACCTTCTTTTCCTTGCTGCAAGTAAATGATATTGCATAGAGATATGTCATTATTTCGGGTAAGTGAAATATTGGTTCGGGCAAGTGAAAATGACCATCCAAAATGATCATCCAAGACCATCCTATCGGGCAAGTGGATTTTTGAAAACTTGTCCAACCCTGGCTTATAGAACGACATGTAAATACAGAATGTAAATGCATTACCAGTTAAGTTTAGAGTCCTATAACATAAACAAGACATGTGGTACATGCACCCACATTAATATATATATATATATATAAACAAACTGGACATGTTCACGGAACCACATATTCACCGTGGCGACAGGTGTAGGAAAGAGAAAGTACAGTACTTATGTTAACTGTAATGAAAGTTAACGTTAACTGTAATGAAAGCTCACGGCACAGAAGCAACAGCGAACACAACAGCACCGTAAAAAAATTAGTAATTACAGTAATCAAAAAGCAGGTGGTTGGCCGTTGGGTGATTTGCCTGTCGATAATTTGCATGTGGCTTCCAATAAATTACTGTAATTCCCTTTTTTTCAATGTACTGCCACGCCATTTTTCTCAGAAATGTTGCTACCGTGAACACAAAGTGAATTACCGTGAACATGGCTTCCAATAATTTGCATATGGCTACCGACAAACAAAAATCGTCATCACCGGGCCTGCGCAGTGTCTGGGCGAAGCTACAAAGGCGCAATTCTATCATTCCCTCATCAGACGTGGGCCTGATCAGACAGGTCCACCGATCGTCCTGATTTCGTGAGCGTCGTGCTCCGTTGGATTGTTTGGATCTCTTGGATTGTTTGACTTTGCCGTGATCAGATATGGCCGCTAATAATGGTGAGACAAAACTGTTAACTTGTCTTTTATTTGCTAAGCACGATTCCTAATCTTCCTAAGGAACTAGGAACAAATTCTGTCAGAAGAAATCAGCAACGTTTTGACTTATTATTCGTGGGCTTACTTCGAGTTTAGTGATTCGACAGATATGGCTGAAAACCAGGATGAGACAAACTGTTTACTTGTCTTTTTTTTAATTTTTATTGTTCATTTACAAAAAAACGACCATCAATAACAAAAGATAATACATATACCACGGATCCAAAAGTACAACAGAATAAACAAACAAAAGAAGTAAACAAAATTTTTTATATTTTTAAACGTGTAACTTGGGACATGTATAGTAATATTCTGCAATCATAATGATGACAATTTGTCTAATACTTTGTAACTATAGTTGGTAATTATATAAGTGTTTCTTTGACAGATATTTTTACTACAATGAAGAACAAAGTGGCAGTTCCCAGGGACCTTAGATTGAGAACAAACAACTTCGTAAGTCTGGAAAGACTGGAATGACCTTGAGAAAAGACAAATAAGGTAAGGTAGATTATGAATAGACCATGTAGCGTGTCATCCCCCAGCTGCTGCCGCACGTGCACATCCGTGGCTGCAGCTTCCACTGGATGCAGGCAGTGTGGAGGAAAGCCCAGGAGTTTGGACTGCAGAAGCCATACATGGAGGATGAGGGAATCCACAGCCTGACAGAAACCACCGTGGCAGAGCTGTACCCCAGCATGAGGCTGTTGGCATCAGTGCTGATGGTCATCCCAGTCAGCACTGCTGACAGCGAGAGGTCCTTCAGCACGCTGAAGCGGGTCAAGACCAGGCTGCGTAGCAGGGTGAACAATGACACCCTCAATGCCCTGCTGACCATCAGTATAGATGGCCCCAGTGTCAATAACTTTGACTTTGAGAGTGCAGTGACAGCCTGGGGGGCTATGAGAAACTAAAGGATTGCTGTGTAATCATTAATCATCCAGAAGCAGGATGTGTACAGACATCCAAGTGACTACGTGTTGGTAAGATGGCTGGTATTTCCATGGGAGCAAACCAAGAAGATTGTACTCTTTTTGTCATGTTTAGCTATATATCCTCATCACAAACTGACACATGTACTCCCAGCTGTGGGATAGCGGACCTGCCCATTGAGGAGCCGGGTATCTTGATTCATTTCTCAAACCACAAACATATTTCATAAAACCCCAGCGACTACCCCTTACCCCCCCCCCCATGTCATGAGTCTTCAACTAAGTGAAGAACAAAAAGAACTGAAGAATCATAACTTATTTGAACGTCAGTCATTGTCGTACTTCACTTGCAAAAAAATTGTCAGAACTCAAACTTCACGTGTCCATGCTTATCATACAATAACACATTTTTTCTATAACTGTAGCCATGCAAACATGCAATGTTTTTTTCTACTACATTTCAGTGCCGTGACACACTGTACGTTGAGTCGTACAATAATGCCTGCCTTCAGTACTTAGACAAGAGGATTTTCTTCGGCAGCCTTGACTATGGCCTCAGGATGAACTTGGCCATTATGGACTGGGTATGTTTCTCCTGGTTACATCAGGTCGTGCTGTAGGATAAGGATGTACACCCACAATGGAAAAGAAAGAAAGTGCAATCAGTACATTTATATATAGCTAATATTTCAAATTTGCTTGTGCACACATGGAAAATGGGAAGGACATACATACATGTAAAACATCAAACCTATGCCAATGCATCAAAACTATGCCAATGCAAGCAAAAATGCAATCTACCTGGTATTCTAGCAAGGACAATGTTGAGAATTGGAAGGCAGGCTATACTAGGTAAATAACTAGATGACTGTTGTGCGTTTCAGAACGAACATGTGGATCGCCCTGCCACATCAAGATACAACAGGGTCAATGTTGCCAACCCAAGGCAGAACAATGGGGGGAAGACAGTCCTGTCGGCCAAGACAAACAACTTCCTCAGGGACCTGCTACTCACCTTCTTGCAGAGGGTGAGGACAGCAGGGGGACTACCTGACCTCCCCCAGGGCCGCAGGCGGAACGCTGATCTACAGGCAGATAGTGACCGGCTCTCAGACTACTCATCATCTGATTCTGATGAAGAGGAGTAGGAATCAGGGGGTTTTGTCTTTGAAATAAATGTGTCTTTCAGACGTTGTTTGAACTCTGATAGCGAGAGGTCCTTCAGCACGCTGAAGCGTGTCAAGACCAGGTTGTGTAGCAGGATGAACAATGACACCCTCAATGCCCTGCTGACCATCAGTATAGATGGCCCCAGTGTCAATGACTTGGACTTTGAGAGTGCAGTGACAGCCTGGGGGGCATGAGAAACAGAAGGATTGCTGTGTAATCCTTGATGGGACTGGATAAAATTTGATCGTCGATGAAAGTATGGAGACGTACTTTTGTACACGTCGTCCATTTTATGTAATATAACTTGAACGGGCAAAATACAGTATGCGGTTGAAATTCATTCACATTATGTAGATGGACCTTGAACGAGAGTTTGGTAATGCATACACTACCAGCTCGATTTTGCGACTTATGGCAACTATATTGCCATGTTTATTTTACAGAGGTCGGGATCATGCTATCACGAATGTTCAGGTCCGAGAGGGAGTTATTCACGGAACAGGAACTTCTTCACAGGAGAGTAAGTGAGCTGCTGATGTAAGCCAGATGACTTGGAGCTGACCCTGCCGGTTTCACCACGAGAGGAAATAGATAGGTCAAGGACATTGGATAGAACCTGTCATGCAATGACAACACCACACGAGGACGCGACGTCACACACGGCGGCAACAACGATGACTCCGGAATCTGGATGGACGACCTCTCCGAGACTGGAGACAAGTTTACTCTGGCGGCAGACCAACTCCGCTCTGGTTGTTTTGTGGCCATTGCGTACAATGAAGATTGATTTCTAGGTACCTCTCCTAGAAACCAACGATAACGATCCCACTCCTAAAAATTGTCTTTAAAGAGATGAAACAAAAATTGCTTCAACATTGAAGCAGGTGGTAAGGGTGCTGTTTCTGTGAACAAAAGATTTGGCGCATTTCGGCGTATTTCCGATATCCGAACAGGTACTTCACATTGAGATTTCCTGCGATTTCGAGCAGTATAGCTCTAAATACTTAGGCTAAAACTTTTTGGAAATTGATTTGCCGCGTGGCATGGAAATTTCCATAGGATTCTGGTTGTTGTTATTCGTTGTTGTTCCTTTACCTAGGTTCTATCGCATTTTAAAATGTTTGTAGTTTTTATCTGCTCTTTTGTATTTTAAATATTGTCATACTTGTAAATGTTGGCTCAATTTACTCTCCAAGCAGAGGTAGGGTCGCTCGGTATTTTGGCAGTATTTTCGCGTTTTTAATACGTCTTTCTACTTTTACGGTTTTTTTTTTGGTCTTCCTCCCCTTACCTCTGCCGGCAAACGCACCAGGGCGGGGCAATCTATAGAAATAAACGTGTCCCTGCCCCTCCCTGGGAACCATTAAAACATCGTTTGGCCAATCTTTTTACTGCCTGGATTTTCGCACATCCGGCAGGCCCGTGGACGCGTTCACTCAGCCGCGCTCGCCACCCGCTGATTCCTGACGTCACTCCGCGGGCTGGCTGTCTGTGAGCTCGCGCCAAGTGTGATGGCAGCACAACGCAACTTTAAACTGGCACTTCCGACAAAAACAATCAAACGAATAGATAGTACATATAACGATTACGTAATAAATATTCAAAAGGTTGCTTGTCACTATATAATTAACCGTATTTACGTAAAAGCGTTAAAGATTAATTTCCTACTGGGGAAAGTTGTATTTTTACGTTAGATGCGGTTATTACAAAATGGCGCCAGCTTGAGATATTTTCTTTCGGGTTTCGTCGACTTGTGGCGGCACAACACAGTTTTCGCCCTATGGGGATTTCTATAGTTAAGGACCCCAAAGTGACTCACTTCGACTCACTAAAAATTATAGTAGGGTGCACAAGCAAGGTTCAGGATTTTGATATGTTTAATTTCAGGGTATGGTGTACAAAATAATGTGAAAATGAGCTTAAATTTGCCGGCTCGTTCTGTTCTCACGCCCTCTTTTATTAGCGCCACTGCGGAGGTCACGGAACTGCAGCCAACGCACAGTACTACTCGGTACAAGTATTAGAGCGCAAATCTACGCCGACTGAACACGCACCATAACTCAACTTTTACAGTCTCAAAACTGACGTATTCCTCTAACATTTACCACAGGTCCCATCCCGATGCCATGCACTGAACAATCTCTGCACCCTTCTCTAGTATTGTGCAGCACTACTTTGTACCCGTACTACTTTTGACTACGGGGTTCGCCCATAAATACTGTGTTGTGCGGCCTTGTATTTTGATCGACAAAGGCCCCGAGAGCCCTCAACAATGGCGCACGAAGAACGGATCAAAAGAAGGTATGTGTTCTGTACTTAAAAGTTTATATTACCTTAGTATTTCAACGAAATTCGTTGACAAATGGGGCAGGATGGTTGACAATGTGACGATAATTTTTGTCAACACAGGACCAAGTATAATTTCGGACATGTTTTTACACGCAGCAAAGTACTTTGTTTCCCTTGTTATGCACCTTTCATGCAAGTACAGTATGCTGTGGAATATCCTGACCCAGTCAGTTGTGTTATTTGTTGTTGTTGTTGTTATCGTTTAACGTCTAATACATCGCTTATAGCGAATGTGTTTTGCGTAAGTGTTCCCCCCTCCCCACATGCTTGATGCAGTGCTTTACACGTGAAGCTACAGTTCTGGGGAGATAAAAAGTCGGCCGTAGGTATAACCAGCATGTATTTTGCCCTTATGTGTTCATGGGTACGTAATATTAACAGATCAGCTGGATTTTTTTGGAAATGTTTTGTATCAAATAATGTATCATAAGAGATAAAAGTTTGTATTTTAATGAATGGGTTATGACCTTTATTTTTATGAATTATTTTTATAATTTGCACAGTTATGCCACAATGTGCTAAGTACAGGTCGCAAGAAAACATGTTTAACAAATATTGATTTAACAATTGAGTGATAATTGACTGATTCACCCTTGGTAAGATGATAAAATAGATTCATACACAACTCCTTTTTGTAACCCCTCATACATCATAGCTTTATGTAGTTGATGTATATTTCAATGTTGTTGATGTTTACAGCTGTTGGACATGACTGTGTTTCTATTTTTTTCTATAGGTTGTGGGAGAACTTGCAGGTAGACACATGCGGAAAGCTGCCACAAAATGTTGTTGTGGAACTGTTGTCGGATTTTCACTTAACAGTAAACCAAATTGGCAAGTTCATCAAGGCTTGCTTTCCCCATGTAAATGTGCAAAAAGGCAGGACTGGGACAACAACATTGTACAGGGGGGTTTCTTTCCAGCCGTGTTTACAGCCTGTCGGCCTTCCAACGTGGACGCCTCCACCCTCCTCTGCTCTGCCAGCATCCATATCATACAGCCACCAGCAATCTACTGCCTTACTACTGGAAGAAAACAGAATGCTCAGACAGCAGCTTTACGAGGCGAGGCGTGCCGCATCCATGTTAGACCCAGTGACAATAGACAACCAACTGCAGATGGAAATCACATCAATCTGTTCTCAAACCAGCCCCCTGACTAGAACAATCAAAACTGTCTCGGACATTAAAGAATTCAGTGCAGCAGATACAGCCTTGTACATACAAACCAATGCACCTACCATCCACCGCCTGATCAGCAATTTGATAACACCAACCTATGAAAGGAGCAAAGATGACAGATCGCAGTCTGTAGCAATGTCAATTATTGCCACTATCGCCAATCACCACAGTCAGAAAGCCAGCGGACTTCAAACAATTCTGTCACTGGGCTTCATGGCACGGACATGTAATGATCAGGTATTTGTCTTATTTACTAGCTATATGATGTCTTGTCCTTGATTTCTTTTCCACATTGTTATTGTACATGTACTTGTTAGGCTAAAGGATGGAGGCCACATGATAAAAAAATACAGTATACATGGTACTTATTCTACAAAATTGCTTAGGTTTCTTAAGGTTTTATTCAATCATATAATGTTTCTATTTCTCCTAGGTATTGAAAATCCTGAATCATGCTGGCATAGGGGTGTCGTCCAGGAATGTCTGGCGGGTGATAAAGGACAATGCCGACATCACCAGAAGTGCTGCAATCCCCAGAGAAGCAGTATGGTCATATGACAATGTGAACATACTGGTGAAAGTGCAGCAAATAAGAAAAGGTGCACCTTAATCTTTTCATTGCATTTGTGAGGCTCTGATTTAAGGTGGTTAACTTAGATTTTAAAAAAATAATGTAACATATAAAAGACAGCATTTTCTTCCTTTTCTCTTACTTTGACTTTCTCTCTCATTGCCCAGTTTTACAGACATATTGCTAGTAAGTATGGAGCTCAGAATAAATGTATGCTTTTCCATAAATACAGGTCATCATGCAGAGATGAAAAACTGGACGTCACGGTTGGTCATCCCCCTGAGGCACATCCCTTCTCAAGATGTATCAACTGAACCCCAGGTAAATCTTCTGGTATTATATTTTGATACATAGTAAAGATCTAAAGATGTAATTTTTATTTAGCTGGATACAAAAATATAATACAAATATAAGTATGTGATAGTTTTTTTTTTACATTTTACAGGGAAGGCGTTGCGATCTGTCTGCTGCAGATCTGCTGCCAAGCAAGGAGGATATCACCAGACTAAGACAGCGACTTGGTGACCACATCACAAAACTCCTGTCAGAAGAGTTCAAGTCATTTTCTTCTCACAGGAAACCACCACCTGTGCAAAAGGCCGTGACGCCATCAACATACATGCCATTGGAACTAATGGGTGAAAACGAGGCAGTGACAAGTGCCAACATTGTCATCCTCAGACGGTTTGCCAAGGAGGCAAACATGACACCAGAAAACTGTTGGGATCAAGTTAGTTCCAAGTCAAGTTTATTAGATCCTAAATGGCTTTAATACTTACTATGTAATCCTTCCTTCAGTTCCTTGATACCACTTTTCTGGCATCTGTCATATTTCCTCCCCCTATGTCAACTCTTTAGAGTATATATAACTTACCATGTGTAATGTTGTTTCCAGGAAGTAATTGGTGATCAAGCAACGTGTAAAAACGTCCGTGCTGCAAAGCGTCACCGACAAGACGATGTGGATAACCTGGAGCGCCTCAGTTGGGCCAAGGAATGTCCAGGTAAGATTCTGTTTCAAAAATGTTCTTTGAGGTTGAAGGGGTTATTAGTACTTGATGTCTAAATTTATAGATGTTTTTGTCAATTACAATTTGCCCATTTTATGATTAAGTCAACTAGGAAAATTCTGTCTAACATCAAACTATATGTTTACATGTATATGCCTACAGGTGACTTTCATTTCCTTTGGGAGACTGGAAAGTGTATTCACATCGCCCACTGGAACTCTCCGAAGAATGTAGGATCCCTTGCGCACCTGCGGGATGTAGTGGATCGAAGAAATGTTGATTCTGGAGGTTGGTAATAATTATGCGTATGTGTAAACATGTAAATTACAGACCTCTTATGTACACAGATAATGATTGTAATGTATTTGTTTTTAAGTTGAGAAAGTTAGGTTGGAGTTGATTTATTTGTCATTACAGTATTTACTTGTATTTCTTGGTTAATGTTTTCTTTTTGTCTTTCTATGAATCTTAGGCAAGAAATTCAATGCTATGGACGAATTTCTGCACCATGCTTGCAAGGCACATCTCATAGCAGCGCTACTCCATCACTTGGGAATGACGTGTCCTGGAGAAGACGTGCCAGAAAGAAGTGCAGAAGAGCTGAACGACACCATACACTCCTTTCTGGACAAGTACGTCTTCAAAAGAACAGTGAGAGACAGCGTGGATGACAGCATCTTCCAGCATGCAGTTGCCTTGCTGCGACACCTCATGCTGTATGTAGATCTTCGACAATGCATTAGGTATGAAGATCCATTCTTATTGTTTCAGCTTCAAGTTGATTTTGTCTTACTACATAGATATATACATGTATCACTTTAATGTCATGGTATAGTTTAATTCACAAGAATTTTTTATATAAATAGCAAAAACAAGGTTAAAAACTGATATTATCATTTTATTATTGAGAGAAATAGTTGTTAAAGGGAATACTATATACAATTTATACATATTTACAAGTTTACATGTTAACTTTGACGAAATAGTCCACTACAAATAATAATGACCTTCTTGTGTCATAAGTGGTGCAGGCAATGTGACACATGATTATGTTGATTTGTCTTTGCTTTAGACATGAGGATGGACCAGGGATCATCAGCCACTGGAAGTTCTGGCTACCAACCTTTCTAGGGACTGGCAGGAGCCAGTATAGCAGTGAAGCAGCAAATCATCTTGCCAACCTGCTGGCGGACTGGTCGCCGCGGACAACTGAAGTTCTTACCAACAACAGAGGGGTCAACACCCATTCCAGAGAAGGCCACGGGAAACCAGTGGATATGCTTGTTGAACACTACAATAAGTAAGCATATAACCATGATTTTGACAGTTTAGAGTTAAGTTAAATCATGCACCAATTACATTATAAAACACAGTGTATAGATAACATGGGAAGCATGTCTAGGACTCGCTGTGATACATTATGAATGATGGTGCTACACAATTATTTCATCCTTTAGTAAGCCATGCGTATGAAAGAGATTCAGTGTACAATGTAATAACATTATTTCAATTACAGTAAAACAATTTAACTATCATAATACTATTATTAATAGTACAGTTACGCAGTTTGAAGCTATGCAAACACAGTAGTTTTTCTGTCCTTTAGACTTAACCATTTCTAACACTAAAACAGCACATTAGATAGATGTTACTTATGTTACTTTATGTTACCAAACATAGGACACAATATTTTAATGACTGATACAAATCACAATTTTTTTGGCAATATAGGATCCTCAAGAAAGTCCTGAAAGCATCAGGCGGCCAGCTGACCCTACGTCATGCACAGGAGGTTTCCCTAGCAGTGCCTCTTCTGGACGAAGCACGAAGGTTTTGTGACAGGGTCTTCCAGGCGAAGCAGACTGTTCAGCATACAACACCCTCCTCCCATGCTGATGTAGAGGCAATGTGGAAGTCCATCCTAGAAGGCAGTGCTTACTCTCCAACTCCAGGTAGAAGGCTGTGCTCGGGCAAGGAGTTTGTGGATGTAGTGAAAAAGGGAGACAAACGCATAACAGTCGACAGATGGTTGGACAACTTCCTCCGTAAGGGAAAAGTGGATGATGAAACTGAACACAACACCGGGGACGAGGATCTTGAAGTAGACCTAGCCGCACTGATTGATGAATGATTAGAGGTGGGTATTACCTAACTATGTTGCCAATATCACCCAAAACATGGCGGCGTCTTCTTGCTCTAATCTTTCTTCTCTGTTCCGGGAAAAGGCTGTTTATTGCCTGAAGAATTTCTTCAGTCTTGTCTGCAGGCATGCCACTTATCTTTTCTAAGTCTTCCACACGATGAATCGACCTACACTTGGTGACAACTTTGTCCACTGTTTCATCAGCCATTACAATGTCAGGTCCAAACAGGAGCAACTCCGGTCTCTCGCAGTACCATGTGTCACGTAGTTCCAATATGGCCTCCTTCAGCTCCTTCTCCTTTTTCGAGTCTGCCCTTCTTTTCCTGTACTCACTGGGCTGGTGGACAGCTCTACTCTCAGTCTGATGCAGAAAGAAGCATGTTTCCTGATCACCGTCGTCACCATTACTGTCACCGACACTGCAGCACTTGTCTGGTTGTTCCTCCATGTCCTGCCCCAGGTGTTTCAGTAGCTCCTCTCGCAGACAGCCATCCGTCAGCAAGAACGCTTTTAGATCCTCCGGAGCCTTGTTGACATCTCCCTTTCCGTAAAAAATCACAGCACTTGCTTGTTGTCCAGCTCTTCCCGCTCTTCCAATTTCCTTAGCAGCAAAAAAAAAACTTTAAAATAGATACTGTGTAATTATACACACTTATTTTTATGGCAACTGAATGTTTTTATGTTGTTCAAAATTGATCTATCTACATGCACAAGTCAAAATTGTCATATTAAATGTAATAGCTCTTATAACATATTATTTATAGCTGTATTTAAGTCCAAGCATAAATATTATTTACCTGGTACAACTGTCCAATGGTGGCAGGCACGTGGTAGATAACCACTCCATCTATGTCTGGTATGTCGATGCCCTGTGTGACATGCATGCAAATGCTTTAGCATTGTACTTGATGCAAATATTTCATTTGTGAAGTTATTTGTAAAAGCACACATGGAAAGTCGATAATTTACAACAGCTGCCAAATAAAAATGCAAGTCAAACAAAAATCTACAAACAATAAGCAATAACTTGTCTACCATATCTAATGGAGAAAAGAAATTTTGCTGTTTTTTTGTTAGCAGTGAAGTTCATAATTTTTCCTACCATTCCAAAAGCAATTGACGCCACGACAATTCTCACGGACCCATCTCTGAAGGCTTCCATGACTTCTTTTTTGGCCTGTCGGGAGATGTCGGCGTGGAACACCCTCACTGCTTTTTTTATGTTCGCTGGACACCTCCTAGTCAGCTCCTCCCAGAGCTCCATACAGGTGTTTTTTGTTGTGGCATACACAATGTGCTTCTTGATGTCTTGCACTGTCTCTGCTGCCATGATGTGGTCCACAAGTGGCTGGAAGTCTTCCTGTATGAAAAAAATTTGATGGCACAAATTGTAATTGTTACCAGTATTGTAAAGATAGCTGTCATATATTGGATAAAGTATTTTCAAATGCCAAACACAACTATTACAGCTCATTATTAGTATTTTACATTACTTTCCTCAATTTCATTAAGTTCTGAAAGCCTTTTTCACATTAGTTATTCACAAATGATTCTTTGGAGTAAACAAAAATCTAATACAGAAACATGATTTTAGACATAGGAATATATGATTACCTTTGTGCTCTTGATCTTCTTCCTCAGGAGAAAGATGTTGGGTCGATCCAGACTGCCTTTCACCATGACTGGATTCTCCATGTGCAGGGCATCCATCACACTCCTGCAGACATCAGGGGTGGCTGTGGCAGTAAGGGCCATGAATGGCACCTTGCTTAGGAGGGCCCGCAAGCTACCGATCTTCTTAAATGTTTTTCTGAAGTCATCTCCCCTGTTGATTAAAAATGTTAACATGTCAAATGTTTCAATGTAACTAAATGATAGGTGACATAGCATTTGTACATTTACATGATAGTGCAAGGAGGTTAAAATCAGATTTTAACCTCCTTGGATAGTGGCATGTTGTAAAATATGTCAGTGCTTTGTTGCTAATGATATGAAATTATAGACCCTTCACACGTGTACTGTCTGGGGGCGAACAAGGAAGGATGGGGAAGGTCTTTCAAGAATATAGCACTACGACAGACTTCCAGCCAACAAAACAGTTTGCACCTACCACCCTGATGTAAAGTTTTGAAGCACGCCCCTTATTTTTCCCCCAATTTCTGACTTTAAAATTCTCTATGGGACAACCTACCATTCAGGTATACAATGTGCTTCGTCTACTGCAACAACTTGTATAGGCAGTGGAGGTGTTTGCAGCAGTTTCCGTCCCTGTGGTGACACTGCCTGTTCTGGGGCCATGAAAACTGTAGAAGAAGTCAACAATAGTTGCAAATGTTATGAACGTCTGTACAATATTAAAACACATAAGTAAAGTAAGTAGTCTTTTCCAGTTACTACATTTTTCATATGGTTCATTTGACATAGCATAGAATCATTTGACCAGTCTTAAGTTAAACTACCTGAATTACCAAATTAATTACTACATGAGATTAAATGACTGTTTTAAGATAACAATAACATTGTGGGAAGCAAATCTGTGATTTTTAGTTTGTCATATGTTGCTCACCAATTCGAACACTGCCATCTGGTCCATCCATGTACTGTTGAATGTCTCCAGCATTTTTCAGGTGCAGTCCCTTGTACCCGGTGACGCTCTCATATCGGTGTATCTGAAATATTGTATGTAATAGTACTTTTTAGGCAAATATTATTTATAGGGAAACAAGTGACGTTACATGTATAATTTGCAAGCTAAAAACTACCGTTGTATCTTTAGTAAATAAGCAAAACCACTCATTCTCTAAATGAGCAAGGCAGCAATGCATTAAATAAGGATTTTGAAACGATAACATTGTCATTATTCTTGTCTAATGCTGGGTTCAATTCCACCACCGCAGAAATTACACACGGAAGGTAAGTAAGCCTAAGTTACTTGTTGCATATTTATCGGTAGAATGGGGAGGGGGGCGCTCTGCACTCGTACGTAATCGGAAGTCACTTTGTATAATTTAAAATGTCATGCTACGTAGTTTCTATACAAAATGTCTTACCTGATCAGCAACAAGTGCGTGGAGCGGAGAAATGACGAGGACGACCGTCGGGCTGGTAGAAATACTCGGCAGTATCTGATAGCAAATAGACTTGCCCTGTCCGGTAGCAAGGCCTACAAATGTGTCTTTCCCTTCAGAAACTGCCGTAATTGCGGTAAGCTGGGCTTCACGGAGACTCTCGAAGCCCCATAGGTCTTTTGCTACGCGCGTAGCCCTTGCTCTTGTGTCCATTTTAAGTGATTCAAGAGAATAATCCAGTCAGTTTACTACCGAAAGTTTAAATCCACCGGCTGACCCCGAAACCGTTACATACGCGTCCAGGGTCAAAGGTCGCGACGGCCAGACCGGAAACGTCCCGCGGCGCGCAGACAGAAACCCAGAGCTGCCCCGCACATACTTAGCACCTAGTCGACAAATGGCCATAATGTGCTAAAGTGATCGAATTTAATCCCATTGAACGTTCCGTTTGCCGGCAGAGGTAAGGGGAGGAAGACCAAAAAAAAACCGTAAAAGTAGAAAGACGTATTAAAAACGCGAAAATACTGCCAAAATACCGAGCGACCCTACCTCTGCTTGGAGAGTAGGCTCAATTCATGTTTTTAATTTCATCGAACATGTCATGCCAATGTCAATAAAGCTGAACCTGGAAGATGGGCATTGATCCCTGGCAGCCATTGTTATATATGAATATTGCTTTGTATATCACTTGTGTGAGTAATTGTCCTTAGAATTTTTAATGATTGAATATGTCAATTTTAACGTTGTATTATAATGTAAAGATTTAACTGTACATGTGTAGCTACTTAAGTTAGACTGACACTTCTCAAATCGCCTCACGGGACGCGGCACACGCTGCAGCACAATTGTCGGACGCAGACCCAGCAGCTGGGAAGAAAGAACCCAACCCCAGCGGCAGTAGCAAACAGCCCCCACCAACGGGCAAATGAACGCACCTGAAGCTTCAACGAGCGAGGGCTCCAAGCCGTCTAGCCCCCGACCCAAGAAGAAGAGGCGCCCCGCCGTCAGGTCCGACTCGAGTAGCTCTGAACATGAGGATCTGGAGGTAAGATTTTACCGAGCCGTTTTTCGTGAAATCTGGCTTTCAGTTTTTCACATCGTTTTTGGGGCTTAGAGATTTTATCAGCCAGCGTGTTCTGTTATGTGTAGAGCTTGTTACTCCCTCAGAACAGCTTAGATGCTGCCTAATTATCCCGTTTTTTTAGTAGCAGAGAGTGTTATCCGGCCGTAACAAGTGTGCCCTTTTTCGATAAACATTTTGATTCAAATACACACGACGCCGAACCGAGCGGGTTCACAGTAGTGAATCCACAGTAGTGCTAGCCTCCTCAGTATTCATTCAAGTTTGACTTTACATAAATCGGAAGATCAGCTGAAGATATCATCCCCCTCCAGAAACGACATGATGGCCATGCTTGTCGACAGCTGGGACTCGCTCCAGGTCGATATCTCCATGGCATTGAAGGAGAACTATATTTCCAATGACTTGAATGGAAGCGAGGACGTCCGGGACGAGCTGTTCCAAGCTGATGTGAAGAGATGTGGCATTTCAAATACGAGATATCAGAGGAGCCACCCAAAACCATCAGGGACCTCCTTCCCACCATAATATACCACCCGAGGGAGTCGGTCGTGCCACCCAACAAAGCCAGGATCCTGTGGATGAAGGGTGTGAGCTTCTGGACACAGAAGACGGGGAGCTGGATCCGGAGTTCATCCTTAAGGTTGAGTCCGAGGGTCAGGCTGAAGATGAAGGCACAGCCCCTGTACCAGTACCAGAATGTAGTAGGACAATATGCTCAGGACATATCACTTTGCCTACTGATACAGCAGATCCCAGTATCAACGAGGATGCAAAGTTCTTGAATGAACTTGGTAAAATGCTGAATAATAATGTCCATCTCGCTGTGTTCAGTGTCTGTAAGAAGATGACATAGAGCTGAGTCATCCTACCTGTGGGAGAGTTAAAGAGGACGTGTTACTGATAATAATTTCTTTCACTTGCAGATATGGAAAGAATGATACGAAAAGGGGTCAAATCCAGTTGCGGTGCAATTCACACAACTGTGCGTGTTTCAAAAACTACATCGCCTGCAATTTATTGCTATTGCAAACCATGTAGTAATTAATTTCCATGATGTCGTAGAAAGCATACACATCAATCCACAAAATCATAAAGAGACAAGTTTGCAGGTGATACAACGAAGCCCTGACAAGGTAAAACAGGGAACACTTGAACGTTGTCTGGTTTTGGATATTGTACAACAAAACAGAAACAACTTTGTGACGAAGGAAATTCTTTCGATATACAATGGCATAATTGAGAAGCTCAAGATTGGTAACGTAGCAAACGTTTTAAGGATGAGTAAGATTTCTTTGTCACATATGGCCTATTTCCTCAGAAGAAGGACTATCATATGAAGATATATCATGACATTATGGCATCTATATTATTAAATAGGGCAGAGTGGAGGCAGAAGTACCTCTGCTGTATCAGATTCACGGTCTACAGGCCTCATGGGTCAGGAGATTTTGTAATGGCCCTATGTCCCCTGGAAACTGATACCTAACTTTTACCTCAAAGAATAAGGGAAAGATAATCTGATTTTTAATGCAGGCCTTCTATAGATAAAACATATTTTTCATGGCGGTCAATTCATATTATCTCTAATGGAGATATTAGATGACCCAAAAAAACTTATTGGCTGAACAAAATAACCTTCTAAATGCAATACCAAAAGAAAACAAAGTTAGCTCAGTATTTAAACCAACTAGCCATAGCTGAATTTTAAACTCAATCAACACAAATTGGACTACTTCATGGTAAATTTGTACCCGTAGAGAAGGCTACATCTAAAACCATTTATTGTGACTTAAATAAACAAATGTTTAGAGAAGGAAAAAGCATTGATAACTGGGGGGGGGGGGATTGTTGAATGTCTCCATCCTATTTTTCGACCTTTATTCAACCTTAAATATTTACACTATCGGCAATAGCCGCTTTTCAAGTGTTCAAGGGGGAGGTCAGGGGCCCCATAAGCGCAAGTAAACTTATAATATTATATATAATATATAATAATATTCAAAATTAAGTACATTTCTTCAAATTTACAGCATCGTTCTAACTATCCGTGTTTCTATTCCTGGCTAATTACATCGTGGCTTATTGCAACATGTTCTTGAATGCCGTGATTATGTGAATTAGATCCTGGTTTACATAATTATCATTTTACTATATGAACCGTCATTTAATCTACCCACAAACCAAAAATCACCGGTTCTTAAAGTTATCCTACTTCAAACATTTTCAATCAAATGCCACTGCAGTTCCTAAACAAGCTTCTACAGGGCCCAAACTTACGTCACTTCTTTCTGGGCACAAGAGCTACCTACCATCTAAAATCATGACTCTAGGAGCTACTTACTATCCAAAAATCACGACCCTTACATGTCCAGATCACGACATATCACAACCGGAAGTTCTGCTGCAGTACCATAGGAGCCGCCAGTTGGTCCCAAATCTGATCATTCCGAGCTCTTATTAAGACCTACCCACCTATTAAATACCAAGTTCCATCTAAGCTTTCTGGAGTTATGCTGTTAAAGTCAATATATGTAACATATTCCATGAGCTGTGTTCTTTTTATTCAATTATAATTTCAAAGTCCATTTATCAACTGTTATTATGTATACTGTAATATAGCCTGTGTTGGATAAAATAGAGAAGAGACTTTATTAAGGAAGTTAGACCGTTGGAGCAGGGGGGCGGGGCGATTTAAAATAAACGGCATTACAATTGACACAGAACGTTGCCTTTGTATTCTTTTCCAGTCGCTATTTCCTCCTCTTCTAACTTCTTCCCTCCTTTACCTTTAATCTATCATTTTGATAAAGACTATTTAAAAAACCTATGCAGACCAAGTCTATTGCCTTTTAGTGCTATTGCTTTTTTGGTTCATAGTCCTTTGTAACCGGGATACACATAATCCACGACCAGCTTTGAATTCAGTTGTTTGATTCCTACACCCCTTAGTTTGTTCTCACGTGAAAACTACATGGTTCGTTTTCATATTTAAGGTCTGTTTTCCTATATTACACGGCCTATGGTTGGTTAAAGTTACTGTTTATAACCATACCACCGGTATACATTACTGACGCTGGTCTTTTGCGATTCACTCACATCCAAGGTTTCCTCTCTTCCAGCCGCCACATTGCAGCAATTGTGAAAGTTGCGTGTTACCCAAGTAATGTTAATCAACAGTCTGTTAATTCCATCAGGGACCTTTTAACTGGATTCTGTTAGATTTGCAACGGTTAAATTACCATGTATAATTTTGTTCTTATTTAAAAATCTGGGACAATAGCGGGAGGTAGACATGTACCGTTGATTTGGAATGCGTTCTGTTCAGCTAAGATATGAACATTTAATTGTTTTACAGGCATAACAGACAGCATTGAAAGTCATCATGGTCGTGACGGCTGTTATAGCGATTCTGATTCTCGTCGCTGTGTTTTTTTGTATCTGTTTCCTGATGGGCATTGCATACCAGCTGAATGCAATCATTCACATACTGTCATCAGGATTCGATAGAGTTACAGAAGAACAACGTCGAGTTTCTAAGGGGACATTATATAACAACAACTTTACAACAACAAGCCGCTGGACCCGAAGAACTTGTGTCTCGTGTACCAACGCGGGAATCTGGAAGAACACGAGCACCAAGTAGAACACGTCATCCTGGAAGACCAGAAATGATAGAATTAGCACAATTATAGACCAATGCCATCAAACTCACTCCCATAGTAATTGTTTATTCTACAACACTGTAACATCTTATTATTTTTTACCACTTAGAAGCCAGTAGGGTTCCAACTTAAAGCAACAATTAATCTATAGCAATTTTAAATTGACTGAGTATATCATTAATATCGTCGTTAAAGGAAGCAAAACACTTCTAAAGAGACAAGGACTCGGCATAAGGACCTCATATTCATTCAAATTGGCTTGGTGCGACCTGTTACCGAGTACGCGTGTGAGATTTGGCTTCTTGGACTGACCACAGCGTCTGGAAGAAACCACTGAAGATCATAATGAGACTGGAGTTTGGGCTGTGTTTTTCGCCAACATGACAGTACGAGTTATGCGACAGAAGATCTATTTTTCCGAGCCAATAGCACCCATATTGGAATTGTCGAGATTGCACGATGCACTTTCCAGACACTAATTTAGTTTGATATCGCGGAATGCTATCATTGTGCAAGGTCGTGGTTCATCATCCCTACACTAGATCTCGCATCTTCTCCGTGCTTACCATTATGTATACACTGCTCCTTCACTTTCCAACGTGCAAATTGCCTGCCAAGTTGGAGTCGACACACAACACCCTGTGACAGCATACTATGCCACAGATCGCCTGGTGAGATGTTCTACAGATAGACTGAACAAACCAACAACCTTCAGTGACAACTGACTGAACAGAACTTTCATGCAACTAAATGTCAATCAGTCATAGTGTGCCGTTCATATTTATGTAGAAAAGGCTAAGGGACAAGAGCAAACATGATAAATTGATTTGTGGAATTAACATCCAACAGACCCATCTATCTAAGCTGAACAAGCCCCACTGAGCCAGAGGCACAGTCCCCGAGGTCTGGGTTTCCAAGAGGCTTGACAGCTTTTAAAGATAACCTGACTAACACACCCTGAGTAAGTTGGATGTTCTACCATTCCCAGTCAGTGTTTGCTACTTTGTCACCCAAATAACCATCAACATCTGTCAAGTTTCACAGAACAAATAATTTTGTTCCTATCAATGACTAATAGTGTTTCCTCAGCGTTTCTGCTACGGATGCTGAGATGTTATATCTTGATGTAGACTTCAGGGATCACCAGACCCATGTGCCAGGTGGACACGCCCATGGCCATCTTGTCACAAGCCTCCCTGGGTGACCTGAACAAAAGAAACATCTTCATTTAGTTTTACACAATGTGGTACCTATTACATATGCATAGTTGCCAAATGTCCACATACCAATGCATCCTGTCACATTTAAAAAAATCTTAAAACTCTCGTATCTTATAGTCCCTCGTGGTCCAAGCTATGGCATTTAAGAGTTAATAGGCATTCTAAGATACCAAAGATAAATGTCCGTTACAGCTTTGTTTTCAATCTCATAATAAAAATAAACGACATTATAAGCACGGAACTGATAAAACTTAACACTATTTTATGTATGCAGTTATCTGTGTACCTAACTCAGCGGCAAAGCTGGAAGTTTCGGATTATAATTTGTGCTCACTGTATGAATTATTCAATAAGTATTTTTTGTAAACAAAGAACCCAGCCAAATACAACAGAAACTGGCGTAAAAGGTAAAATATCCCGGACACTACTACATCACAGTCACATTGTCCAGTAAAGAAATCAACATAGACTACTTTGAAGGCATTAATTAGCGAGAATTTCGGTCAAAACCACCGTTTTCCCGGCCCATGTATTCACCACGCCACGAGTTATTTTCTAATTTTCTGCCTAAAAGCCATGAGCTGAACGGCGTGAGTGACCCTTGCGAAAAGGACGGTCCCTCACCAGTAACAGCTACAAACTCAAATACACTCAGAAACAGCTATTCTGTGCGACAACTAAATGTTTTCGAAGAAACATTCTGAGACGAACAAACACAGAACCTTACCTCGCAAAGGCCGCCCTGCACTGACGCTACAAAGCTGCAGACGATCGCAGAATACCAATTATATCCATCCGCTTCGGCATCTGGAAGGTCACATAAAGTGCAAAAATAGACTCTACTCTGTCAAAACAGAATTTTTATACCAATATGTGTAGCTTACATGTCAAGTTAACAACATATGTGGCACAGTTATTATTACAAAGCGTCCTATTTGTCTCGCACTACTTTATGGCGGCGAAAAGATACGTTCTGTCTGGAGGGTGATATTCGGTGGAGCATAGTACAATCCTTGAAGTTGAACAGGATGTACTCAAGTGCCGCCAGAAAGTAGTGCGGACAAGAACGGAGCATCTCGTAACAACTGCTCTCTTTTCAAGTGTTTGCCTCAATTTGTTATTGTTTTACATTTGTTGAGTAATTAGTCTGTTAATATTTGTTTCGTATATAATTTCTTTGTTGGTAAACATGACATTACCAGTTCCGCGGCGGATGGATATGGGCAGAATTTCCCGTCGCATATCCACCCAACTTTAGTTAGAGAGGAAGGGCGGTAGCGAGAGGTTGGTCATTCTTAGATCCCTTTGTCTTTACAAATTGTCGCTTTTGTATAGGTAAACATTGCGTAGAATGGATCTTTGGCATGCTCTGGTTACTCGTATGTAAATATCGACAAGTTCCTATGGATGAAAATCGGATGAAATTAGTTGAGCCACGTATTCTGTAAACTATGTCTCTCGCCTCCATGTCAGTTAGTCCAAACCTTTTGCCCCTAGTCCAAACCCTTTGTCCACAATCTTCAGTTTACATTTGTTTTAACCGCCTTGTAGTATTCTGGTAATGATACGATCGTTTTTACTACATTTCACGACAGAACTTGCAAAGATCCATGTGTAAGGCTGGGCGCGGCTGACATCTGTGATAGATTATCTTGTTTACCTGGTGGAGAGAACTGTGTACTTTCAAGAAAATTTCAAACCTCCTTGGTAATTGTATGTATGTATATGCTGTGTAATCATTTGGAACAAGCTTTACGAAAATATTGACAAGATTTATACATTTTAAAATTTTATTTTTAAGTTAGAGAATGGTAGAGCTAGTTTTCCACTAAAGCTTTAGATATATGACTGTAACAGTGAGTATATTGGCGTCACTAACTATCCGCCCAAGAGATCCTGGATCTTTTGGGTGAATCGGTTTGTGCGCTGGTTGTGAGCTGACACGCAGTCGCACGGCGCGGGTTCGAACCGATCAGACAGGGCAAAATGTAGATTTATCAGCTCACACGTCACCTTATCCCCTAAGCTCTCTGCAAACTCTAAAGCGGGGCCCTCCAGATGTAGCATAATATTATTATTAGTCGAGTAATCTCCATTAGTCGAGTAATCCTCCACAGGCCACTGTTGTAGTTTGGCCAAGGCAATGAAATCAGTCTTCTTTCCGGAGAATTTCACTAGTTTGATCTCCGCACGTGCACGTGTCGCCATGTTTGATTTTCCTTTGTCCACCGCCCGTCCAAGTTCCGCCCCACTAACGACACCAATGTAACACAGAAAGGAGTAAGTCGAAGGTTGACTCTGACCCCCGGGAATCGAACCCGCGCCGCCAGCTCACAACCAGCGCACAAACCGATTCACCCAAAAGATCCAGGATCCCTTGGGCGGATAGTTAGTGATGCCTACATACTCGCTGTTACATGACCGCTGGCATTAATCTTTTCAAGAGCCATCCTGACCAACTATAATGCCTTGTTTTCTGTTCGTTACCAACTTCCAAGAAACGTTTCAGTATAATGATACTAATTTCTGTTCCTTATCTTTATATTTTTTCTACAGCGACACCTGATGTGAGCACCAAACAACATTGATTAGCTGTGAGGACCATCCCATATAGCATACCAGCAGCCATACACAGAAACGATCCATACAAAATGAACGTCAAGCATTAATTCATATCAGCTTGCAACATCTGAGTTGTATGTAACGACAGTAAAATATGTATTACTAATGGGCTAACGTGTCAGACTAGGGATGGCTCCTGGAATTCTAACTCAACATCTTAAATTTTATTTGTGGCTGAATATCCAGCTAACTCATTGGTTGTTAGGGTTAGGTCTATTCTTACAGCTGTCCAGCCTCTTGGAAACCCAGACTTCGGGGACTGTGCCTTGGCTCAGTGGGGGCTGGTTCAGCTTAGAATTAGATGAGCCTGTTGGATGTCACAGCCATTAATGATTGCTGTTTTTTGCTGTAAGTCGCCAAAGTTAAACTTACACTATATGATTCGCCAACTGTGTTTTATTCTTAGGGTTGTGGTCTCCTTGGTTGAGTCCAGGTACTGCAAGAATCACTACACACGAACCATTACCCTACTATTGTCTGCCCAGGTTTCCTGAGTACAGATGACATCGCTATTTCGAAAATAATTACAAAACTCTACATCACTAAACTTTGTACTAACGCTACCCTGGATGTTCCAAGTTGAAAAAACTAGTGCAGATTTCCCCCATCAATTCGAAATCAGATTTTGAAGGCTTTTAATTCTACATCTATGTCCGGGTCACTGGACAGGGACAGCCCCACCCTATTCAGGGTGGCAGAGGTGTTGAAGGTTACCTCACACCTCCCGTTACCCTTGTTCTGAATCCCTTCAACCTCTGTCTTAAGATTCACACCGTGCTTCGTCAGAAGATGAATCACATCCTCAAACTGAGCCTCTTGCTTCAGCAGGAATGTTATTCCTGCACTTCTCTGTCTAGTGAACTTAGAGAGCGCAGGGGGCATGATGTTATACAACCCTCTACTATTACTAGCTAATAAAAACGGGTAAAAACTAGAATGCGAGTCCCGAAAACCCCTAACAGGGCTTCAGAACGCGGCCGGAAAACGCCTAAAGGAGCCTCCGTACCGGGCAGTGCTAGCCCCCCGCTAAATATGGAATCTGACCTAAATACCGTAGGATACCACTTCCCCTAGTCTAGAAGGGGGAGGGTAAAAACCCCAGAAGTCGGCACAGTCTTTTAGGCTACAAGAAGTCATCTATTATGATGTCATTTAAAATCCATGTATAAGATAACTGGCAACTGTATAAGATACTTTGCATCCGCAAATAGCCGTACATAGTTCATTTATGTCAGGAAAAAGTTTAGGGCCTTGCGAAGACTTTTTCTCAAGTGTTTCAGCTCCAGGCCAAAATACATGCTAACACTGCATGTAGAAGGCGGTTTCCAGCTTTGTGATACCCGTTTGTAAACATGTTATGATGTCAGATTGTATAATAAATAAATAATGATTGTCACCGACAAAAACATTTTACAAACATCCTGTTCTGACGGGACGGGTTGTTATTACCTGATGATGGTGGAATTGGCACCACTTTTACGGACAGTCTCCTAGCAATTTCAATCTGCAGTTTATCTGATTTGAGGTCCATTTCGCGCTTGTATTTCGTGAACAGGTCAGACTGCCAGGGAATGGACCTAGTTTTGAAACCCCTACCCCCTCATTGTCTGATCTTGACTCTTCAGAGGACACACTCTGACACAGCTGTTGTCATTGGTGCCACAGGGAAGGATTTTCCTCCCCATCCGCCCATTGTCCCTCTCCGATCTGGCACAACTTATTTGCTGACTTGAAGTGTATCAGCAGATTCCCGTTGGTCTCAGTCTCGAAAGGCATGGTTACTTGTGTCGCCCGTTGAGACACACCATTGTAGCAAGGGTTATTATAGCACCCATCCGCCGTCCCATCTATTGCTACCGGTTCCCACTCCGGGACCTCTCTTCCGCGGAGCTTCAGTATCCGGCGAAGCTTTCCTCTGTTCTCCTACAGGGAGGTCTCCAGGATTGTTTCCATGCTGTCACAGACCGAATTCACCAGCTTCTGCATGGTGGAGATGCTTGGCGTTCGTATGTCCATGCCGCTTAGCAGGGTCTTGGCTCCCGTTATCCCAATGCCGACCATGGTCAGAACCACAGCAAACTTGACGTTCGTTTTTGCAGGCTTTGGCCCCCTGGTCCTGCCAGGGCACCGCTCTGCCTCTTCGTACAGCTTCACTGGAGCAAACATGAAACCACAATTGGTACATGTTAAAGTCTCCTCGAACTTGTACTGGGTCTCGCCCATGTTGCCAGAGGCCGGCATGGCGCACTAAAGGCTGCAGTTAGGGTTTTTCTGGGAGTGCTGTGACAGGAAGTTGTTGATCATTGTCATCAGGAGGGGAACATCGAACAATCTTTGTTCTCTTACACTACAGTGTCTTCCATCTTGTGACTGGTAGCTACCACTAGCTTATCCAAGGTGTAAGTCTATGGGACAGCGAAATTTGGCATATGAGACCCTAAACTAAATACATATGTGATATGGTTCACTATTTGTCATCTGCCCACTAGTAGTATATCTGTAGTATGACTAGGACTGAAATTACGCTGGTGAGAAACCCTACATGTGTGAAGAGTGTGACGAAGTCATGTGTCAACCCCTTCGCTGATGGCTCTTTCCCTTTGCCTCCGTACAGTTCAAACCGACAGCAGTATCCATTGCTCGAATCACACAACTGGTAGGCCTTTAATCCGTACTTGTCCGGATTGTAGGTGCGAAAGTGTACATTACCCCAAAAGTTACCATGCCCTCATCGATACAAATGTCCTTTCCTGGGGACCAGACATCACTGAACTGTTGGAGAATTGTAGGGTAAATATCACCGAGCTTATGGAACGGATTGTAATTTGGATCATCACGAGGAAGATACGTGTCGTTATCGCAAAGGTGAAAGAACTTAAATATATATCAGGAGAAACGAATCTCTTTATAGACGGGACAAATGGCGTCTCCAGGACCTCGTCTGTGCTCCAGTAGTCGGTGAGGTCTCCAAGCTGTTGCATGTCTTACAACTAAACGATAATGTACAATGCCTTATTGTCCGGAAACTCTTGGATGAGTTGCCATCACACATATCTCGCTATAAAAGTAGTTATATGTAAGCCGGAGAGGTCCTATAATCCGAGTGGTGGTGCAGTGTGGTGCTGTATTGATATGCAAAGGCACCACCATCTGTAATAAGCCGAATAATCATGCAAAAATATAATATATAATATATTATTATTATATATGTATATATATATAATATTATATGTATATTATATACTTTACCATCAACGGATTAGGGTCTGTTATGTTGGTGATGGGTTCGTTGTTGAGTATCTGCTGAAGCAACCATTATAGGCTAGTTAAAACTTGAATGTTTTGCCTATGTTACAGCTATCTTGAGTATGGGTTTTCACTGAATAATCACCGTCAATTTGGTCCGTTGTAAGATTTATATGCTGTATTTATATGTTCGTCCATTTGTAATGATCCCACCCTACGCTCGTCAACAGCGATGTGAAGAAGCCATAGCGTTTAAAGATCTTAGTGTGATCCAAGTTAAAGGAAATAAAGTTAATGAGATTCACAGCGGTAGTTTTGTTATTTTATGGATTCGCCAAAATAGATATTGTTACAGTACTGCACAGGTTATCACATGTTCAGGTGGTGGAACAAGTGATGACAGATTGTGCAAGAAATAAACAATATTTACATATTTGTTTAGGTTAACTCAGTGTGTCTTCTTTACGAATTACGTGCTTGAAATTTTCTTGTATGTGGGCCACGAACTTTAGCCCCACTGCATGTGGCAAACGAGTATTGTGCAGTTTGTAATTACATTAATGAATTAATAAACCAAGTCAAACCAATTAACGCATGAGGTTTTTTTCATGATCATTATGCAGCTAAAAGTTCCTTATTTTGGGATACATGAAATTATCTTGTATTAAATTTGCTGCAACTGATAGTACCTATGTCATTTTTTGCAAGTAAAAGTCACTAACTCTGTGGTTGGTCAGGAAATCATTAATGATTAGTTTTCTTTCATCATCAGATAGTATGCGGAAAACTTTTGCCTTGACTTTCAAAATCTGACAACTTGCAGAATCCAATGCTGTTATCCAGCTATTAGTTGCACCATCCGTTAATTGAACAGGTAGCCTGTATGCAACATGAAATGAGGAATAGTTTATTTTACATATTTGGCAAAAATATGTGCTATCATTTACTTCCAGCACGACCTGGCGACAGCTTAATGTAATGCATGCATTATAAGTGGCTTGGTGCTTGGTTTCAATAGCAGTGATTTTTGCAGACACAATACCATGTTTTATTGAGGTGTTATTGAGATATTCCTCTAGTGTTGCTCTTTGATAAGGCATGGATGTGACGGTTTGGGATAGTATTTCTTTGCCAGGGGCACTTTCAGTATTTTTCCTTGGTATTTCATCTTCATGATCAGTTGTGTCGTGAGATGCACTTGACTGTTCCCTGCCAACCTCATGTTCTTCCAGACTGACGAGAGTTCCTGATCCTCCGGCCTTACGCATCTGATATTAGGAATAAGACTTATTTATCCTCACGAGTAGGATAGTTTGGCGTTTTCGTGGGAACGAAATATATTTAAAGACCGCTAACGAAACGAAGACTCCGGAAACAAAGAAAGTACAACCTCTTCGCTCCGGGCTCGAGACAGAGAGGACGAGTTTCGACTCGTTTTTGGACCTCATGGTTTTCTCGCCTTCCTATTGGTCAGTTTGCACGAGGTAGGCGCGTGATTTCGAACATGGAAGTTACTGACTGGGCCGGTCTAATGCAAAGCTCTGTTCCTGTCATCCTGCATATGATCATCATTACTATTATTGTCAACCTTATAAGGCTGTTACTGTAAAAATATACATATTCTGCTTGTGATTTGCAAGGTCTCCAAGCTGTTGCATGTCTTCAAACCTGACAATAATCTGCAATGCCTTATTGTCCGGAAACTCTTGGATTAGTTGCCATCACACATATCTCGCTAAAGTAGTTATATGTAAGCAGGAGAGGTCCTATATATAATCGGGGTGGTGGTGCTGCATTGAT